ACTTTTCTTTTTTTTTTAAATTTGATTTATATGCCGCCCTTCTCCGGAGACTCAGGGCGGCTTACAATGCGTTAAGGCTTCATACTTTTGTATATTTTATACAAAGTCAGCTTATTGCCCCCACAAACTGGGTCCTCATTTCACCTACCTTTGAAAGGATGGGAGGCTGAGTCAACCTTGAGCCTTGGAGAGATTCGAACCAGCAGTAATTGCAGGCAGCTGTGTTAATAACAGGGTGCTTAGACCACTGTGCTATCAAGGCTCTTGCTGCACTGAACTCAGTGTGGATACTTACACACTCCAGTCCAAAGAACACACACACACACATTAAATTAGGCACCTCAGCCATTGTCTTCTGTATGATCAAACAATCCTCAAATACCCCCCAAAAGTAAGAGCACAAATGTCAGGCTAGGTTTGGCAGTAAATCTTAGCTTTCTGACTCTTAACCCTTTATTCCACAGGCGCCTTGACTTGACTGACAATTCTAAATGGAATTCAGCCTCATTGTCACTTTTATTGCAGTTAAAAATGGAAGCTTATACACAACAGAACATTTGTACACTGCGGTGCAAATATGGTATCCATAGTCCAGACAGCCTAAACTCAAAGAGATTTTCTCCCAAGAGCAGCCGAACGGGGAATACAATCAGTGGCACAATGGTTCTCTCTCATCTGGAAATCTCCCGTCCTTGCCTTGCCCATTTCAGCCTTTACACAAGTGACCCAAAGGTGTTTTTTTCAAGAGGCAACTGGACTGTCTGTTTTTCCTAGAAGAGGTTTCGCTTCTCATCCAAGAAGCTTCTTCAGATCTATTTTTATTTTTATTTTTTGCTTTAATTTATATGCCGCCCTTCTTCGGAGACTCAGGGCAGCTTACAGTGCATTAAGCAATAGCCTTCATACTTTTGTATATTTATACAAAGTCAGCTTATTGCCCCCACAATTTGGGTCCTCATTTCACCTACCTTTGAAAGGATGGAAGGCTGAGTCAACCTTGAGCCTGGTGAGATTCGATCTTACTTTAATTGCAAGATATTAATAACAGTGTTTAGTCCACTGTACTACAGGCTCTTTGACAATTTATATATTCCACAAATTGGTTTTCATCTGGAATAATAACTCCATGCTTCCATTGATCAAGCCTGGCTACCTCGTAGTGTAATTAGAAGGTCTTGCCTTTTTTAAAAATGTAAGGTGTACTTCTATTAACAGCACGCAAATACATCAAACCAGTCATTTCACAGCATGTACAAAAAAACAAATAAATGATGTGACAAATGGAAGATTTTTAAAAATCCAAGATAGGGCCATTCAATGCTTTTTAAGATAGAAGGAACGACATCCAAAGGCCCATATTATATAGTGGTCAAACTTCTACCGTTCGTGGAAGTTTAGCATAGACTTGTAGAACCTGCACAAAACCTGCGTTTCCTAACGATTTCAGATAAACAGTATTTTATGCAGTTCACTTGAAGGGCTTTCAAAATATTTTACTGTACATGCATGTTTAGTTTTTGAAAAATAATTTATTCATACTATATATTTCTCTAGTATATAATATAGAAACCTCTAAAATGATACACTTTATACAGTGGTGAAATCTAAAATTTGTTACTACCGGTTCTGTGGGCGTGGCTTGGTGGGGGGGGGTTATGTGACTGGGTGGGCGTGGCCAATTTTTTTTTTTTAACTTTTAAAACCGTTTTTTCTACAACCTCTTCGGTGAAAGAGGTTTTTTCAAAAGGCTCTGACCATCCCAGCTGAGTTGCCTGATTGGCAGAGGCTTTTTTAAAGAGGGTTTTTTTCTATTAAAAGCCTTTGATGATCCCAGCTGAGCCGCGCGATCATCAGAGGCGTTTTTTTTTTAACTTTTAAAAGCATTTTTTGGCCGAAGAGGTTGTAGAAAAAAAGCTTTTAAAAGTAAAAAAAAGCCTCTGATGATTGTGCGGTTCAGCTGGGCAATGGGGGGGTGGGGGAGGGATTTTTGCCACCGGTTCTCCGAACACCCGCCTCCATCGCTACTGGATCGGGCGATCCGGTCCGAACCGGTAGCATTTCACCCCTGACTTTATATCAAGACAATGAAAGAAGGCTAGGTTTGACAATTTATTAAATTTATTATTATTTATCAGTTTCATCCATAACCTGTCCTTGCACCTCTCCGTTAAAATATAGCATCCTGCAATTTCAACATTTCTTAGAAATGCATCATTCCTACCGGTAAGAGTTTACAGGTAGTCCTTGACTTACAACAGTTCATTTAGTGACTGTACAAAGTTACAATGAAAAAAAGTGACTTATGACCATTTTTCACACTTATGACCATGGCAGCATCCCCACAGTCATGTGATCAAAATTCAGATGCTTGGCAACTGGTTCATATTTATGACGGCTGCAATCTCCCAGGGTCATGTGATCCCTTACCCCCCTTTTGCAACCTTCTGACAAGCAAAGTCAATGGGGAAGCCAGGTTCACTTAACAACTGTGGCAGAAAAGGTCATAAAAAGAGAAATTTTACTTAACAAATGTTTCACTTAGCAACAAAAATTTTGGCCTCAATTGTGGCCGTAAGTCGAGGACTGCCCGTATTTTATTAAAAAGCAGTCAGCAAATGTCAGCAACTTTTCAATTCCAAGCCGGTCAAAGGGCCTTCTCATACCACAGATTTGGATACTTACGTAACATTTTAAAATTTGGTATTTTAAGAATTGGAAGTGATGAGTTGAAAGTTTTTGTGAGCTACATAATATAGATTTACACCACATATTCCTGTCAGCATATTAATTTATAAAACAATTCTACAATTTACACATATTATGCCCTGCCCCAATACAAACACTGGCAATTTTATTGTGTACAGCTTCAATATTAATGGTATCAATTGGGCTCTTTTGTGTGCAGCACAAGATGGTGAGCAATTTGTAGACATGACAGATTATTAAGAACATTCCTAAAATGTATGGAACCCCCAAATGTTGCCCTTCTTTCCGTATCAATCACTTTCAAACCAATCAACGTTCTATACTTTTGTAATATTATTCCGTAGGGTTGTCATCGAATGCGTCATTGAATTTAAGCGGTCTTACAAATTTCAGTGATGATGATGATGACAATATTATCATCATCTTCACTGAACAACCCCATAATCCCTTGCGCGGTGGAGTCTGTGCAACTGAATGGATCTAGCAGCATTTTAATGGCCGGATGCCCTTCCTGTCGCCAATGCGGAGTTTTGTTCAGCAGATAGATTCTCATTGTGCCGAGAGAGAGAAATATCTGCCTCTACCTAGGATCGAACTCACAATCTCCTGATTGTGAGGGGAGAGCTCCACCTCTAGGCCATCGCACCACTCAATGATGATGATGATGATGATGATATCATCTTACATATTATGTGCTGTGTTTACGGGACTTCACCGCAGCCTCTCCTAGGCGTGGAGAAAGGAACCAAAGTCAGCTGCTGCTGCTTCACTCTGGAGGGGCATCGGGTCATTCTAGTGACAGCTTCCAACCACGTTTTCTCGGTTGGTCACAGCAGAGAAAAAAAAGAGCACCTTTATTGCTCCTTTTCTGAACCTCAATATTGGGGGGGGGGGGACTTATTACAAAGCCAGTCACCAGAGCAGAGAATTTACTACTTGTAAACAAGCATTTGTGTTAGTGGAAAAAAGACAGGCTGCTATTTAACCAGCAAAAGGTAAATTAAAAAACTCTGTAAGTCTCATCAGAGTAACTGAAATGTACCGCCAATACAGACTAGTTAACATCACACTTCAAATTTCTTAGTAAAATGTTAGAAAAAAATAAGAAAAAAGGTACAAAGAGCCTTGGTGGTGCAGCAGACTAGAGCGCTGTTAAGTAAACACCAGCTGCCTGCAATTACTGCAAGTTCGAATCTCACCAGGCTCAAGGTTGACTCAGCCTTCCATCCTTTCGAGTTAGGTAGGTAAAATGAGGACCCGGATTGTGGGGGCAATAAGCTGACTTTGTATAAAATAGAACACCGCTGGGGGAGGGGGGGGGCAAAAAAGCCCTACTAAGCAGGTATATACAAAAGTATGAAGGCTATTGCTTAACGCATTGTAAGCCTCCCTGAGTCTCCGGAGAAGGGCAGCATATAAATCGAACCAATAAATAAATAAACAAACGGTTGGAACAAGCATGTAAAAACCTGCACCTCATTACAGGACGTATGTTATCAAAAGAGGTGGGATTAACTACATCAAATATCTTACTTTGTTTCAGGCTAATTGACTACTTTTAGAGATAACATATTATCTCAATAAAAAAAATAAAACCAAAGACCTATAGCCGTATCTCTCATCCGGAGGAACAACATTCTTCTGCCATGCAATTCCATTTAAGTGCTAGGATTCAAGTCAGAAGAGCGACACCAGCTTCCCTTTCTAAAACCAGATGTTTTTCCTAATGATGAGGAGTGGAGATATTTTCAAGCAACCAAACCGGCTGTCAGGGTTCCAAGTAATACATCCGTAGCAAACAGAACTCCAAGGCAAGCAGGTTCCTCAAAGAACGGGTTTATTGGACATGTCATATTGGCACAGACTGGTGAAAGCCGACTCTAAAGGTTCCCACTGTTTTCACCTTATTAAAAGTTATTCCCCCTTTCCCAAACGATCAGTTATATGGTCCAATCAAGGTGCTGTTCGGTTGCTTGGAAACTTTACTCCTCCTCTCTCCAGCCAGCTGTGGGAATGTCCTTGGTTCTCAGGGGAAGCGGTTTTGTTCTGGCTACAAAACCCCAGCGATTTCTATTCCCCCTTCCCTACCCCTCAGCTCCAGTGTGGCAACACTGAAGCCTCCAAGATGGCCTCAATCAAGCCAACTTCAGAGTTGACACGAACTTAAGCTGCTGTTGTAAAAAAAAAAAAAGAAAAAAAAAGCAGGATCCTTACCTCTGGTTTTGACCAAGAGTCCTTTTCAGCAAACTTATTCAATTACCTTGTAAGCACACACACACGACGAGTGAGTTAAGTCTGATTCAAAAGAAAACTGTTTATTTGTTAAATGTATATGCTGCCCATCTCACCTCTAAATTACCATGTAAAGTTTTATTTCCAGGCCAAATCTGGAATAACATATATTGATCCAGAGAAGGATAAAGTTGACATTTGTGTCTAATTAGAATGATATATGAAATAAAATTTTCCCAAGGAAGATTAATTTTAAAGGATCCAGCAAGTATTTTAAAAAGAACTTTCCTTACACAGAGATTATTTAAATTCAGGTTGTTATAAGCAGAAATATCTTTAAAGAGGTCTCCCCACAGATACCTTTACATTTGAATAGAAATAATATTCCATATCAACTTGCTCTTTTCTACATTTGATGGCAAACAAAGCAAGGAGAACAAAGCCATTTATCCCAGACTTTATTTACCTGAGAGAAACAAAGGCCCAACAGCTGGAATTTTAGGGGAAAATAAAAATGGGGCCTGTAAAACCCATAGTAAAGAAAAAACTGCAGATATTTTCAGTAAGAAACACAAAGAAGCAATTTATATATTATATAGAACAGCTTTTACTCTTCAAAACCCCGACAAGTATGCAAGAAAACAAACTTAATTTAACAGGTAATATAATAATACAAAATAAAGTATTACACCATGTGAATTAAACTGCGTATCAGTAAGCTGTCAGCTACCGCCTACATCTCGCTAGGCAAGAACAAAGAATTCCATTTCAAGAGCAGCTTCTTCCAGAGGCTTCACAATGGATGTGAATGTGCAGAAACCAGAAAGTACAGCTTGTGCCACACCTTGCTACATAAATAAGTTTCCTCATTTTATAATGAAAAAGTCAGAGAACTCACAAAGGAAGCCCGTAACCCTATTCACAAGTCATTCTAGAAGACCAAACATCCCTGCAAGACAGGCAGCGGGATGCCAGGTCTGACACAGCTGAAATCCTTACTGTTGACCAGGCTCCACTCGGAGGGTCAGAAGTTGAACTTCGTGTTTCGTGTTTCCAGGATCAAGACCTCCCGTGCCAGAATTGCTCGGCATCTCTACACTTAACGGTAGCTGTTGATTATTCTGGTGCAACTTATTTTTTCGTCTCCTGCATTAAAGAGAGATCCAAGATCTCTTGTGGCTGATCTGGGCCAAATGGCTTTATTCTTGTCTTCTTCCACAAGACCTTTTGGACCCATGCGCAGGGAGCGAAGAGAGTGCGCTAATTTGAACAATTAAAAACAGATGAAAAAACTAAAAAAAAAAAAAAAAGACAACGCCTCTTTCTTGCACCCTTTCCTTTTAGTTTTTGGACACTAAGTGAAACTGGATAGCATTTCCCATCCCAAGAAATCAAACGTTCTGAAACTGCAAGACAGCATTCTCCTAAAGAAGACCTGCGGCCATCTGATAAATCCGATAACTGTATATAGTCCATATTTTCTTTTGTCAACTATCTTGATGGCCCAAGATACGATTACATCTAGCCTTTCTCCTTACTGGAGGCTCACACAGAATCAGTAGAAAACAGAACTCAGTCGGGAGAGGCATCAGTAGTGCTCTTCAAAGGAACAGGAGTGAGGGAGTTGGAGGCCTTTCGTGAAGGAACCTGCCGGCCTTTTCACAACATTCATTATAAATATCGGAAGAAACAGAGCAAGAGGCGGGCAGGTCAGCCACAGAGAGAAGTTTTCATTGGAAAGCAACAAAAACACCTTCATTCGGTTTTGCCGTCTTTGCCGAGAGCGCCTTCGCTACGGCGTAAAGGTGAGAATCATCCAACTGATGACAAAGTAGAAAAGGAAAATGGGGTAGACGACCAGAGCTTTGCGGTTTGGGGGTTGGCTGTCTGCCAGGAAGGCCGTAGAGGCTGGGAAAAGAAACAAGGAAGACCACATGTTGGACAAATAGGCACCAGGAATATAACACATCAAATCAAATCAGCCTCACGTCCGTACCCTCAAAACCCATGGCTCTTTGCCAGCCCCCGGCTCTTCCCTCCCTAAGGGGCAGTACAAACTGATGCTTGGATCTGGAGTGGATCTGGCCCAGGAAAGCTTGCTCTGATTGGCTGGGGGGGGGGGAGGGGGCAAATAGAAAGGCATCCCCTCCACTGGCCACAGAGGAAAGGCTGCTCTCAGGCTGGCACTCCAGGAAGGAAAGCTGGGCCCACCTGGCGTGCAGCCTCACCAGGAGGATTCCTGACTTCTCAAAATCTAAGCTTGTCTCCCTCGTGGAATTGGCAACTTGGGAAGCAATAATCATTTATTTTTTTATTTATTTGCATCATTATTTTTATAAATAAATCAAGGCAGCAAACATACCTAACACATCTACCCATTCCTATGTTCCCCCAAATGACAACTCTGCGAGGCGGGTTGGGCTGAGAGAAAGTTACCCAGATGGCTTTCAGGACTAAGGCAGGACCTGAACTCAGAAGCCGCTTTCTAGCTGGAGCCTAGACTAACTGAGATCATCATTACAAAAGCCAAAGAAAAAGGCTGCAAATAAATAAGCTGGCTGGTTGTTCAGCTTTTTAATGGAATATTAATTCTTGTGCAATTTTAATTAATTTTGAAAACCGGTGTGATGTAACGATTAAAGGTGGATTAGTACTGAGCAGAATCAGATTGAAATCCCCCCTCAGCCTTAGAATGCGAAGGGAGACCTGGGCCCAGTCCTTCTCTTGGCCAGCCTGCCTCACAAAGTGGCCATAGGAATAAAACGAGGTTCCTGGAGAAGCCACCCGGAGATCATGCAGAAATGGCAGGGTTATATGGATAGTAGATACCTTGGCTTCCCAAAATAAAAACAGAAAAATGTTTTTAGAATAAGATATGCAAAACAATACGGATTATTCTTATGCCAGTGAGGAAGTACCAGTCCATTAAAATAAAAATCTCAATTTCTATTAAAAAAACACCCCACAGGTTCACCTATTCTAATTGCAGTTGGAAGCAGCAGTTGTTGGGAAAAAGCCTGAACTTTTCTCCTTGCAATCCTGCTTGAAAACAGAAGAGCAAAGAGAAGAGACGTCCTGAGGCAGACAAGGTGGAAAGACTGGATAAAAATGACTCTATGCCTCCGTCCAGCCCAGCTTGGCCATCCAGGCAGACCTCACGCAAAAAAGCTGTTCATCCCTGATCTATAACTCGTTTAGACTGAAAAACTCACAAAATATATTTTTTTTTCAAAAGGAATTATGCTTCTAAAATTAAACAAGTCAAACAGGATGGAAATATGTATACAAAATCATAATCCGGATAACCTAATTGATACTAATAGAAAACAAGTAGGGTAAACATTTCCTTTTATTATTCAATTAACATTAACATATTTACTCATCTCAGGAAATATAAATAAGTCCCAAAATCCATAGAATTCTTGATCCCAACAAACAATTCTGCCCAGGATAAGGGCCTTTTTGGAAACAAAGCCTCAAGACATCCGAAGGGCAACAGCGTTAAAAATCAGAAGTCTTATGGCCCCCCTTCCCCCCCCCAAAAAAAGGCTGCTCTGAGACACCTTCAAGAGTATATTGGGAGGCAGAAATGCTCAGGTATTACTTTATCCTTATTTTGAGTCCTCATGTCAAACTTCTGTTCATTAATTCTTCTGTGCGAAGTTTGTCCTGGAGTTCTTGGTGTTCTCCTGGCAGACATTTTATTTCCCATCCAAGTAACATAATCAGTATGAACAATTGTGGGATTTCCTGCCTCACTATATAAAGTAGCTGGCCCTGCCAGTTTTTGTGGAGATATGGTTTTTCTTGGTGTTCTGTGATTATTGTTTCCCTCCACACGGCTTGTCTGTAATCTGCCTAACCAAGCCCCTTCCCCTCCTTTCTGCACCTCCACCAGACCCCAATCTAAGCCATCCACCTCATGCATTTGGTGAAGTGAGTTATAGCTCTCAAAAGCTCTTAAAAGCCTTTTAATAACGTTAAATCAGGAGAGGGACTGTTGACCTCTTTCTAGCTACTAGAAATTAACATGGCTCTCCTCCTACACTGCATATGATTCAGTTAGTGAATTCATTTTCTGCTGCTCCTGTTTTTTTTAAACAAAACTTGTAATACAGATATGATATGCAGATGAATTCAAGAATGACCCAATGGTCCTCGTTCCCATGTACAGAGATAGTTCTGATGGCTTTCCATTCCCAACTTACCTAGAGTTGACCAGCCAAACATTGTTATTACGACTAAAAGACGCACAATGAAGCCAACGGTTCCACTGTTTGCTATCAGTACAAGCCTGCAGACCAAAAGAGCCACGGTGAGGGGCAGGATGCAGTAGCCCAGGACACAAAGGCTCTGGAAGAAAGATCTGGCCGAGAAAGAGAGACGTCTTGGTAAAGGATCACGTGCAAAGACAGGAGAGAAAAAAAGAACCGCCAGACAAAATGGGCCCTAAACTGTCTGCTATCCACCCGCCTGTCATTAAAAGATTTTAGAAAGCTTTCACAAAGCTAATTGTTTTCACTTTCTCCTTGATGATCAAGCTAGTAGCAGGAAAACAACATGTTTAAGATGAAAATGTTTAAAGGCTGTTTTAAAAATTAAGATGTTTAAGTAAACATAACATGGGCCGTTTAAAAGCACTCCGGTTAATAGGGCAGGATCCTTAGGCCACATGCATGCCCCAACTTCTATCTTTTGGGCCTCCAGAGCCCCTGCTCTCAAGAGCATGCTAGGGATCTATTGTTTCTCTTTTAAATAACAATAGTGTTATTTGCTTTCAATAAGGCTCACTGTACTTTACGGCTTCAAGATAAAAATTCTGAATAAAAACAGCCTACCGTGTTTCCCCGAAAATAAGACCCTGTCTTATATGTTTTTTGAACCCTGAAATAAGCGCTTGGCCTTATTGCCATGCGCGCAAAAGCCTGATTGGGCTTATTATCAGGGGATGTCTTATTTTGGGGGAAACAGGGTACTTCTCAAGACCAGAAATTGCCCCCATCAGGTATGCCTTTATCATCCTAAGGCAAAAACTGTCTGTCCCTGAATTAAAACAATCCTCATCTGGAGAATCCCCAGGAAGACAAACTCTTCCCCCACCCCAGAAGAAGGGATCTCCGGGTCTCTTACATGGTTCCTCCCAGGAGCTTGGAATTTAGTGTTATGACAACTGCTCCAAACCAGATGATCACAAACACTTCTGCAAACTGAGGGCCTCTGTCTTCTGTGCTATCTGCTGCTCCTCCCTGAAGCATTCTAGAGAAGAGAAATGGATTAGGAGAAAAAAGCTGATACCTCTCTTCCGATTTATTTTTTAGGGTTTCTCTTTCCTGTTTCAAAATGAATCAGTGATTCTAGGCTAGAATTGGGACAATCCACGGCAGCTAAAATGGACTATCCTAGGATAAGTATTTAGACACCCAAGAATGTTTTAGCAATCTGGTCAGACAATGGCATTATAAGAAATAATCTTTATTTACTGTTGTGCCACTCTTTTATTTCTCTTTATGATGGTCTGAGTATCCTTCTCAGACAAGAAATATGGGACAGAAGTACTGAATAAAAACTGTGGCAGAAGAACCCTACTCCACTTGACTGTCCCATCCCTTGGTCTAAGGCACAGAAAAAGCTTAAAAATTGGTGGGGTAGGTTTATAAAGGAAAGGTGGATTGTAAATTCTGTAATTAAAATGCACAAAAAAAATGAAGGGCAGCCTCTTATGCAATGTACAGATCTCAATATTCATATGCATGTTTATTAAACCAAGCCCATACATTTAGTTCTTGAAGTAGTGCTCCATCGGAATTTGTAGTATGTACTGTGTTGCATTTATATTTTGCCAGTGAATAAACACAATTTTAGAGCACTAAGGGGGGGCGGGGGAGGGGAAAATAATATAAGTACTTACAGTGCAAGTAAAACACACAGGATTAATGGACCCCATAAATCCCCTGCAAAGAAATAAATCATACAGATTTATTAAGGGAACACAAAATTGGCAACCCCAAATGTTCTATTTCAAAGTTCTCCCTCCCTCTCACGTTACACTCTATTCTGAGGCAAGTATTTTGCTTTCACAGAATTTAAGGTTTTCAACATTATTTCGGGCACCTACAGTCTCTGAGGAGGGCGCTGCTCTTTTTGGGATACATGACATGGACAAATTTCTTTCCAACTGCTTTTAAATCCCGCATCTGAAAAATTCAATGAAAGTTCAGTCAAAAACAAGTTTAGATAAGATACATTTACATAAGTCATAGCAATGCTAATTGCAGTGATTGAACTGAATTTCTCTTTTGCTGTTTCTAGTGCTGGTAAAAGATTAATTTAAACCTACAGATTTCAATTTTGATCAAAGGGGATTTCACTACTCAGCTTCTTATTCAACCCTGCAAACTAAGTGATTCATTAAAAGGAGAGATATCTCAAATGAATTATTTTTAAATTACAGCAATTAACAATAATGCAAACACATCTTCAAACTCAATACAATATTCCAGGAAATCCCAATTCTGAAAGTTGACAAACAGGCTTGAGATTTCTTGGAATACTCTACTGAGCTTGAAAATGATTTTTGTATTACATAAATATTGCTTATGAGAGAGCAAATTAAGGCAGACAGCAGGAAAAAACATACAAAAATTAACTGTAACAGGATAACGGTAATCTGACACAAAGCAACTGAAGCTCTTTTGTAATGGCTTCATTAATATTGCCACAATAAACTGATTTATTAAAATCATCCAATGTTGATATCATCAAACACCTTATTTTTGCACTTTATTGCCAAGAACACTAAGAGAAATTTGATGGAAATCTCTTCCCTTCACCAAGGCACTTACAACGGTATCTTTTACTGGTTCATCTAATGTGGAAAAGTCTTCGTCTGGGGTATTAGAGCCCACAGGAACAGTAATTTCTCCTTCTACAGGGATGTCTTCTGATATTGACACATCTGCAAGACCTGCAAACTGTTTACACAAGGTTTGAAAGCATATTTATTCAGCTATATGTACCAAGCAATTAATAAATAGCACAGCAGGAGTATTTGCATTTGAAAACATTTTGTACCTGAGCAATCCCAGATAACGGGAAATATAATCAGAAGCATGCAGAATATTTTGATGTTTAAGCATCCCAAACAAGAAGTGACTTTCATTTCACAGTTGGAATGGATCTAAAGCAAGTCTGAATCCTGATGATATGGCCGAACAGCCATTCTGGTATCAGAACGCTTTGATTTCAAGATGGTTTATGGACTTCTTACTACTTTTCATATCTGGATTTAGATATTCACTCACGCCCACATATCACAGAGAAGGATATGAATAGGCCAAACCTGCTTAAGGAGACTCCACATTAATATTCACCCTTCATAGAAAGGCAATGGGACTAGATGTACAGCTACAACAAAATGATCAGAGACAACTGGATTTTGGACCTTGAAGCAATGGGTTGAGTTTAGTTCCATTATTAAATGCAGGTAGTCCTCGACTTACAACCACAATTGAGCCCACAATTTCTGTTGCTAAGTGAGACATTTAAGTGAGTTTTGCCCCATTTTACGCCCTTTCTTGCCACAGTTGTTAAGTGAATCACTGCAGTTGTTAAGTTAGTAAACTGGTTGTTAAGTGAATCCGGTTTCCCCAATCACTTTGTCAGAAAGTCATAAAAGGGGATCACTTGACCCGGGGACACTGCAACCATCATAAATAGGAACTACTTGTCAAGCATCCAAAGGACAATAACCGTGGGGATGCTGCAAAAATTGTAAGTGTGAAGTCATTTTTTCAGTGCCGTTATAACTTTGAACGGTCACTAAAGGAACTGTTGTAAATCGAGGACTAACTGCACGACATCAGGGGCCAGTCCTTTTATTGTACATCTTTAAATCCCAGTTTTGAAAACTGCCCTGGAAGCAACTTCCGCCATTCTGGAGAACGACGAACCGCGTGCAACTTTGCAAGCCACGTCCTTTCCATGGGTTTCTAATGGTGGCCTATCCTTTTATTTATTTTTATTATTTTTTTTAAAAAAATATTTATTAATTTTTCAATACACATGAAACCAAAAACGTACATACAAAAATACAAGCGGAAAAAAAAAATACAAGAGATACAAAAAAAAAGAGAGAAAGAAAAAAAAAGAAAAAAAAAGGGGAAGAAAGAAAAAAAGATAAAAGAAAAAAAAACATTTTTTATGCAGAACTGTGTCATATCCTTTTAACCAGGATCATCAGCAAAATAATTTGCAAGGCTTTGGGGGAAGAGGAGGACCGAATTATCTCAGAATTCTAGAGATAATTTGGTCCAATTCTCTAGACTAATTCTCGTCTAGACCAATTCTCGAATACAGCTCATCTGTCTGGAACCCGCACTGCATATTGGACATTAATACAATTGAGCATGTCCAATTGTTCTTGAATAAAAATATTTCACAAGAAGAGTCCTCCACTCCTCCACTTGCAACAGAATACCTTATGCCACCAGACTTGAAATTTTGGGCTTAGACAACTTAGAACTATGCCGCCTTCGGTCTGACTTAAGTGTAGTGCATAAAATCATCTGCCACAATGTCCTACCTGTCAATGACTACTTCAGCTTCAACCGCAACAATACACGAGCACACAATAGATGGAAACTCAAGTTAAACCACTCCAAACTCGATCGCAGAAAATACGACTTCAGCAACAGAGTGGTCAAGGCCTGGAATGCACTACCTGACTCTGTGGTTACTTCCCCAAACCTCCTAAACTTTTAACCATGGACTGTCTACTGTTGACCTCACCCCATTCCTTAGAGGTCTGTAAGGGGCGTGCATAAGAGCACCAGCGTGCCTACCGTCCCTGTCCTAAGGTTCCCTTTAATTCGTATTTTTTTAAAAAAATTATTTTTATATGCCACCCTACTCTGGAGACTCAGGGCGGCTTACAATGCGTTAAGCAATAGCCTTCATACTTTTGTATATTTTATACAAAGTCAGCTTATTGCCCCCTAAACCGGGTCCTCATTTTACCCACCTTAGAAAGGATGGAAGGCTGAGTCGACCTTGAGCCTGGTGAGAATTGAACTCGCAGTAATTGCAGGCAACTGGATGTTAAATGCTGCCTTAGTAGAAGGCATTAGCCTCCTATGCCACTCAGGCTCACTCATTTTATGTATTCATTTTATGTATTCAATTCATGCTTATCCTGATTACCAAATGCGTTCTTGACAAATAAAATAAAATAAAATAAATAAAATAAATAAATAAATAAATGAAATAAAATAAATGAAATAAAAAAATAAATAAAATAATAAAAAAATAAAAAATAAATAAAATAAAAAAATAATAAATTAATTAAATAAGTCAAATAAATAAATCAAATAAATAAAATTAAATAAATAAATAAATAAACAAACAAAAAAATAAAATAAAGATGCCGTTCAATCTTAACGTCCCATTTAGGAAGCTCGGGGCGCTAGAACAGGGGTCTCCAACCTTGGCCCCTTTAAGCCTGGAGGACTCCAACTCCCAGAATTCCTCAGCCAGCTTTGCTGGCTGGGGGAATTCTGGGAGTTGGAGTCCTCCAGGCTTAAAGGGGCCAAGGTTGGAGACCCCTGTTCTAGCGCTCTACTATTTTCCAGCTGTTTCCCAAAGATGGAAGGAAACTTCGGACCGAACTTTCTGCCTCGCCGCCCTGAGGGTCCCGGCTCGCCCTGGGAACGCCCCGCAGGCCCGCCGCCCTTTCCTACCAGCGGCTTCGTGGCTCCGTCGCCCGCCGCCTCTCCGTCCACTGCCGCCGCCGCCATCTTGATCTGCGGACCGGCGACGTGGAGATGGCGTCATCGCCGCGCGACGGCGCCGGGATGATATCACTCGGCGGTGAGGGGGTCCTCCCGACGCACGACGCCGGGAGGTGATGACGTCGTGACGCAAAAAAAAAAAAAAAAAAGCCGAGGGAAAAAGCCGGGGATTCCCCGCACTTCGCTTAACAGAGTTGGAAGGGACCTTGTAGGTCATCTAGTCCACCCCCCACGCCTTCCTCTCTTCGCTCCCCGATCGGCCCGGCAAGAGAGGCGCTGCCCAGAGGCCCAGCTGCGAGCTAGAAAGCCCCCAACCTCCCCCCTCCCCCATTTCTCTAAGGCAGGCAGGCAGGCAGGCGGTCCTCGACTTACGACCGCGACTGATGGCAGTATTTTCATTGCTAAGCAATTCAATTTAATTGCTTCGCTTTAGGACCTTTTTTGCCACAGTTGTTAAACGAATCACGCTGTCATTAAGCGAATCTCGCTCCTTCCATTGACTTTGCTGGTTGGCAGCCAGCTGGGAAGGAGATCCCACCTGATTGCTGCAGTGGTGGTTGCATGAAACATCTAAGTCACTTTTCAGAGCTATTCTAACGTCAAGTGGTCACTAAGTGAATGGCTCTAAAACAAGAATGATCTGTTAAGGATGTTAATGCGATAACAGCACGGAGAGTGTTTACCGGAGACATAACTTTTTATTTCTTTTCACTGCAAGTACAAAATATTTCACAAGGATAATTGTTTCATTCAAAATAAAGAATCGCGAAATCGCTATTAAAATAGTGGCATTTAGGAATTACACGAAAACCAATGCAGAATTTCACATACCAAAAAACACATGAGGTATTTTCTCCTCGGAAATAAATAAATGCAAAGAATCAGGAACTCTCTGAATTCCCAAAGATGTCCCTAATTTTTTCCTGTTTTAGAAACAACTTCCTTTTAAAAATAATAAAAGTTTCAGTTGGGGTTTATTAAAAATGAAAACTGAAGCTAAATACAAAATTACTTTGAAATGCTTCTATTTCCAGCCTGTTAAAGAGTGTTTCTGATAGTGTGAAAATAAATAAAATTCCTTTTAAACCCAAGCTTTGATACCCTTCGCCTGCCTACAGTTTTCCAGTGTTGTTGACTGGGAAAAGCAAACACCACATTTCTAAGCTGTGCTGTGCCTGAATTTTCAAAAATCTATTGATTCAAACCAAGCTTATAAATCAACAATATTTTACCTTTGTGTTTACTTTGTTGAGAACAAGCATTGTGAATGAGGTAGAAAAAAGATGGCCTCTTTTACAGGAAATTTTGTGAAACAGGAAAAACAGATTTCAACCAGCAGTGTTTCTTCCACTGTACAGTTGCAAAACGAATTCTCATTGCTTAAAAAAAACACATTAGTCTGTATCACTACAGCAGTCTTCTAAACACGAATCATTTGCACCCAATATAAAATAAAGTACAGGAAGAAGTTTTGAAATGCAATTCTTGTTTTTCACATTATTCAGACAGGGCAGCTGACAGGTAAGATCTTCACAACTTTGTACATTGCAGCAAGCTGATGCCAAGCAGGAACCCAAGGGCTGGTAATAATAGTGTAGCAGTAAGATTCCTTTTGTACATGGGTCCGAGTGATCCATTTCGGTTTATGAGACCTAGCGCCTGAAACCCAGTTCTGATCTTTGTTTTTTATTCAGGAAAAGTCTAAAGGTAGTGGAGTCATTTGTACAAGATGCGAGGCTTCAGATGGTATCTGATGGCAACTTCCTCACATCAGTCTCCTTGACTTACTAAGAGTACTTTGGCCTAGTTGGGAGGAATTATTCTACATGGTGGTTGTGGTAGATAGTCTTCTAAAGGAGCCAGCTCCTCTACACCCTCAGCATCTGGTCAGAGCTCATATAAATCAACTTATCAAGTGACTATATCATGTTTTGAGGAGATCTCTATGACTCCTAAAAGGAATGGCCTCTCCCCCGAATTAGCGCACCGTGAACATGTGATATGGTTCCTAAAATTAGGACAAGATAACAAAATACAAATGTAAGATATTAAGAACAATTAATCAGAGATCATTGGTATTCTGATCAAAATATCTTTTCTAAACTTGTTTTAGTCAACATGTCATTCACAAAACACAATAGAATTTTCCAAGGAAAATTCCTATTAACTAATCATTAAAAATAACGTACATCTTGTAAGATGAGTGAAGTAAGTTACTATAAGGACCTCTGAAATGATGGCCTTATATATGTGTTTACCCAAAGAGCCTTGGAGGCGCAGCAGACTAAGTGCTGTTAAGTAACACCAGCTGCCTGCAATTACTGCAAGTTCGAATCTCACCAGGCTCAAGGTTGACTCAGCCTTCCATCCTTTCGAGGTAGGTAAAATGAGGACCCGGATTGTGGGGGCCATAAACTGACTTTGTATAAAAAAGAACACCGCTTAGGTGGGTGGGGTGTGTGTGAAAGCCCTACTAAGCAGGTATATACAAAAGTATGAAGGCTATTGCTTAACGCATTGTAAGCTGCTCTGAGTCTCCGGAGAAGGGCGGCATATAAATTGAACCAATAAATAAATAAATCATATGCATGCAGTGACAATCACAGCTGAATTTAGACAATCTGCTGCATATCTGCAGAGAAGCCTGAATTTTTAGTGACCAACTGCAGTCTCCTATAATCTGACAGGGGTCTCCAACCTTGGCAACCTCAGCCAGCAAATTCTGGGAGTTGAAGTCCACAACTCTTAAAGTTGCCAAGATTGGAGACCCCTGTCATAGATTATGTGAAACCCCAGTCAACCAATTCACCAATCGTGCTGACATTTCAGGCAAACCTGGCAGTGATGATGTAAGAAAGAGCAATTTAACTAACCCAAAGTCATTTCAATCTATTAAATGAGATGGTAAAAAATGACAGCTCCATCCTGAAGCTGTATTACAAAAAAGTCTGTACCAGAGGCTCTCGGAAACATTACACAGTAAAATTGCATTCACCAAAACGATTCCACGTGGCAACAGCCACAGCAGTATTAGGTGGAAGAAAAGCCACACATTTGGCTGAGTACTTATTGTCTTAATATTCAGTTCCAAAATACAGTGATCCCAACCGGCAAAATTGATCCTCCTGATCCCTCCTGTCTGAAACCCACAACGACCACACCAAACCCTTATTGAATTCTATCCCTTTCAGCATATTATACAAGAAACACACCTTTCCATTTCTGATCCCCAGGTATCCTTCCATTCCTGACAGAATTGTCATTAGCAAGCCAGGATGACGAACTGTTAGGATGCCTCCAGGCTCAGTTAATTAATTACTAACAATGTAAGAAAAAGATGTCCAATGAAGCTTGGTTAAGCCTGACTCAACAAGGCAGTCTTGGCCTTCCTTCCTTCAATTATTTCCCTAACTACTGGCAGTCCTCATGGCTCCCAGACCCCCCCCTCGCCCCCCCTGCCCCCAGCAGCACAATGGCTTTGCTTTCAATGTGCACAAGAGAGGAAGAAGGAATTGGAGTGTTGCAAAGGTGGCGGTGCCAGGGAGGCGTGCTTAGGAAGTTTACAAAAATCAAAGGTGTGAAACTGAATAATTTTGTCCCTTCCCAGCCAGTGAGCACAGTCCTGGTCACAGCAACAGTCTTGTACAAGCAGCAGACTTGTAAGTTCGAATTAGGGTTATTAAGTGAGGACTACCTCTGTTTATACAGGGAACTGAATTCTGGAATTGACCACATGAAGGTGGATTGTCAGATACGACAAAGTTGTATCTGAGAAGGAAGGAAGGCATTTCAGAAGGGCTTGTTACCATGCAAAGGCAAGGAAGGAACACTGAATGAACAGCCTCACTACCAGTACAGGTAAGGCAGGCAGGATCTGACTCCTCTAGAACCAATGAAAAATGCATAATGAAAAAATACATAACACTCAGAGCTTCTGGATTTAAAAAAATGAGTCTTCTTCTGCTACCATTTTTGTGATTTAAAAAATCAATTTCATGCAGTACCTACAGTACCTGCTCAAAGAGGAAATAAACAACTGTGGCCAGAGCCCTTCCCTTTATATTTGCTGAAGAGCTCGGAAGCTCAGAATGATCAAGGCATACTTTGAAAACAGCCATGTTGAAATTATTATCAGTGTCCAGAGGAAAAAGAACACCTCAAATCCACAGCAATGTAAGATAATTTTTCAGGGTTCATTGTAACTTACCTCCATGCCCTGAAAATAAACCACATTTTTAACAATCAATGAAGAAACCCACTTAAGTTCCGGGATTTTCAAGTATTGTACAATGACTCCATCGTGAGATGGAACTACACACTTCAAGCAGCCAAATGGGAGAAACCAGGAGGTAGACCTGGAGTGCTGAGAAGCTGTCTTCTGACTCTGCAGCCTTCTTGCGAAGCTGATCAGAAGGTGACTTTCATGGAGAAATCAAGTAGACACGTGATAGTCCAGGTCTCTCTTGGATTTCCTTTCTCCCACTATCTTCAAGTAAACACTTTTTGCTCTCTCTTTTAGGATCTTACTCTAAGAGACAAGGTAGTGTCTTGCTCAGCTGAAGCCACTCGACTCCCAGCAGACCCTGGATGGGCTTGTTCGGCTGTTCTCATGGATGAGTAGAAAACATCCTAGAGTTGGACATTATGGCCTGAAGTCCCAATAAATTAGTCATAAAGCAAAAAAAGCATCAAAATGCTTTTTGCATTTTGCAACCCACTGCAGAAGGTTTCTGCAAAACCTTCTGCAGAGCTTTCTTCCAAAACTGGCCTGGAAGTCAATAAACTTTTGCAACCTTGACGTCTGGCTCAGTGCCAGCCTTCGGGATCCATCAATGGAGATGGGAGAACCTTTTCAGTTTAGGATGAGGCTGGATGGTATGAAAGAAAAGACAGCCACAGAATCCACCTGGAAGGCAGGGTCTCTTTAGCTCGGCCAATGTTGCCAGTGCCACAAGATCCATGTGAAGAATAGCAATGGCTGAAGTGTACAAAAGAGAGGAGAAATCGTAAATATTCAGAGTGGTGGCTGCTCCAGAGAAACATTGCTAGAGGAACTTCGCAGGGGCTCCCCACTTTCAAGGGTCCGGTTTTGGAAGGAGGAACACAAGGCTGAAGCCGCTTCCAGAGAGCGCCCAGCTTGGGCTGCTGGACAGGCAGATCCTGAGAGCACTTCAGTTGTCGGCTTCCGTTTGCCTGGCATTCCTATCTCGGCCGTCCCCTTCCCGGCCCAGGCAGAGAAGGCCTGCAGATCCAGCTCAGTGCATTCCACCGGGGCGTGAGGCCAGCAATGCTGTGATTCCCTGGCGCAGGAGGAGGGCTGGCCTGGGCCATCAGGACCTCTGCTGCGGTCCTCTCTGCCCTCGGAAAAGCCCCCGTGGAAGGAGCAGCTGTGGAGCCCAGGAGTCCCTATCAGGGGCTGCACCTCCAAGGGGCTCCTGGCTTGGGGGGTCGTGGAAGTGACTGTCATCATCTTGGACCAATCTGTATCAGGCTGTGGATGGGGGAGATGGGATCCAGGAACATCCACTCCTGGGATAAACTGAAGAGCTCTGACAGGGCCTGAAATTAGGAAAACCCAGTTAAGGTTGCCGGTTTCTCCAACCCACTCAGATGAAGATGGAAAGTCCTACAGCCGCTTGCCCAACTCAGGGAAAGGAGAGGCCACAGCCACAGAAGGCAGCCAGGCAGCCCTTTGGATTTAATTGGAAGCAAAAAAGCAGCCACCTCTTTCCCGGGGTGCCCCCTCCCCCCTCCCCAGCATCAATTTTGCCTTCACCTTCAAAGTGCTACACAGCCCTAACCCAGTGGTGGGATTCAGCCAGTTCGGGAGAACCGTTTGTTAACTTTCTGAGCAGTTTGGTGAACTGGTTGTTGGAAGAAATCATTAGGGCAGAGAACCGGTTGTTAAATTACTTGAATCCCACCACTGCCTAAACCTTGGAAAAAATATATGAAAAAGATCAGTTTCAACTGAAAATTGAAATTGATAAAAAATATATATGAGCATTTTGGAAAATAAAATCACAAATGTATTGGGCAGGCAATTGTAAAGCAGCCTGAAGTCAACAAGTTCTTCATTTTTATTTCACAGTCTTCATTGCTGATATGACAATAGCCCCTGTTGTAAGTCACCCAGTGTCATTGGATGCGAGATGGGCGCCAAATAAATTTCATGATAAAGAAATAAACGCCAACCAGGAGGAGGAGGAAAGCCCCCTTTTCCTCTGACTAAAAGGTCATCGGGCCAGAAGCCCACCTGAGCATCTTCCTCTCTCAGGGCCAGAAGGACCCAATTCCACCCAAGAGGCTTCCAGAAGGTCAGAGGAGAGCCAAAGGCAGATCTGAGGAGGTCTGGAGAACCCTCAGGAGGCCCATCGTTCCCCACCAGCGTTGAACTCTTTCTTCCTCCTTAACAAGTAATACAGCTAGTCTCTGACTTATGACAATCGAGCCCAACATTTCTGTTGTTAAATGAGACATTTGTTAACATGAGCCTTGGTGACGCAGCAGTGCTATTAAGTAGCACCAGCTGCCTGCAATTACTGCAAGTTCAATTCTCACCAGGCTCAAGGTTGACTCAGCCTTCCATCCTTTCAAGGTAGGTAAAATGAGGACCCGGATTGTGGGGGCAATAAGATGACTTTGTTTAAAAATAACACCGCTTGGGGGTGGGGGCGAAAGCCCTACTAAGTTGGTATATACAAAAGTATGAAGGCTATTGCTTAACACATTGTAAGCCACCCTGAGTCTCCAGAGAAGGGCGGCATATAAATTGAACAAATAAATAAATAAATAAATAAACAAACAAACAAACAAACTACGTTTTGCCTTTCTTGCCACAATTGTTCACTGCAGTTGATAAGTTAGTAACCCAGCTGTTAAGTGCATTTGGCTTCCCCATTGACTTTGCTTATCAGAAAGTCACAAAAGGCCTCTGAAACTCTCATAAATATGAGTCAGTTGCCAAGCATCCAAATTACGATCCTGTGACTACGGGGATGCCACACAGGTCGTAAGCATGAAAAACGGTCGTAAATCACTTTTTCCAGTGCTGTTGTAACTTGTCATTCAGTAAATGAACTGTTTTAAGTCGAGGACTGCCTGTAATGTATAATTTTAAGAGGAGTGAATTATGTTTACACCTAATTAAACTGAATCATAAAATACAAAATATTCTGCACACAAGGTGTGAACATGCTTGTCTTGTCTTCCACCCCAACCTGTCTGCAGATGTCTTGGCGAGTTTGCGCAAATGACAATTTTGAACCTCCTTTGCAGATCAAAGCATTAACTTCCCACCCACCCCAATTATGGAATTGACATTTGAATTCCAAGCATGGGGAGTGCCTTCTGAACATGTACATGTTCCTCTCTTGAAACAAGTAAAGGAGCATCAGGCTTCTATGCAAAGCGCTGGAGGACTCATTCTTGAGTCCCGCAGAACATCTTCTCAAGGTTCATTGGGGCTCCTTTCTACATCTCTAGCTCAAAGAACGGTAAGCACCTAAGAAAGAGGCTCTAAGTGGACACAGACTCCATCTTGGTTACTCTATGAAAACCCACTGGAGAAATTCACCTTCTGGGGGTCTGTAGGGAGACCTGAAGTTCCTGATGTCCAAGGAGCAAGCATCTGGCGGCAGTTCATGGATACCAGTTGGCCCAGCAGATGTCCGAAAGGTCACTCTCTGACCAGAGACATTCTGACTTCTCAAAAACACTTCAGAAATATGCAACCAAAAAGAAGAAGAAACAGGAGTTTACACACCTTGCGAGAAAATCTCCACAATGAGGGCAGGCTCATATGCTGGAGAGCTTTTTGGGATTGTTTGTAATTGGATCACAGTTTATAAACGTGCTCTTTGTTTTAATCTGCCCACTGAATGCATAGATACAGATGATACACTTGGATACACTTTCATAAGGGTTTGTGCCCGGTCCAAGATGGGAGAGGTCGGGGGAGAAATCTCAGGGACAGGTCATCTACCACAAGAGAAATGGCAGGAAATGAGGTGGGCTGCTCTTGGGGAACACCCCATAGATACATGGCTCCAGTGACGCATTCTGGCACCGTTACCAGACCTTCAAGTCTTTCAACTGCTGCTGCAGAATGCCAGGTCAGTCTGTAACAAGGCTGCCCTCATCAAGGAGGAGAGGGCCTGAGGAAGGGAACAGGGTCCTTGCGCTGTTAGCTCAGCCATCTCTGCATCAGATCCATCTCCTTCCTGGATGGTCATGGCTACCTGGGACAGGGCAGGTGTTTGGGGTTTGGATGCAGGGGTGAAATGCTCCCGGTTCGGACCGGATCCCCCATTCCGGTAGCGATGGCGGTGGGTGGTTCAGAGAACTGGTAGCAAAAATCCCTGACCCCCCCCCAACGCCCAGCTGAGCCGCATGATCATCAGAGGCTTTTTTTTTTTTTTTACTTTTAAAAGCATTTTTTCTACAACCTCTTCCGACGAAAAAATGCTTTTAAAAGTAAAAAAAAAAAGCCTCTGATGATCGTGCGGCTCAGCTGGGATCGTCAGAGGCTTTTCAAAGCATTTTTTTCTGCAACCTCTTGGCCAAAGAGGTGGTAAAAAAAATGCTTTGAAAAGTCTCTCACGATCCCAGCTGAGTTGCCTGATCAGCAGAGGCTTTTCAAAGCATTAGAAAAAAATGCTTTGAAAAGTTAAAAAAAAAAAAAGTTGGCCACGCCCGCCCAGTCACATTATCCCCCCCCCACCAAGGCACGCCCACAGAACCTGTAGTAACAAATTTTACATTTCACCCCCGTTTGGATGTGATTAATTTCTCTTTGAAAGAGCAGAGCCCTGTCAAGGAGGCAGAGGTTCGTCTCCTCCTCCTCAAAAGGCCATTGCTGGACTCCACTGTCCTGGACAATTTCCAACCATTCCTTTTTAGGAAAATCGTAGAGATGGTGGTCGCGCTGGAACTTCACAGCATCAACCTAGACTGGAGGATCTGACTAGTGGTGACATGACAGCAGTGTTCCAATATCTGAGGGTTGCCACAAAGATGTGGGGGAGGGGGTCAGCCTATTTTCCAAAGCCCCAGAAGGCAGGGCAAGGAGCAATGGATGGGAACTAACCAAGGAGACAAGCAACCTGGAACTAAGGAGAAATTGCCTGACAATGAGAACTTGTGACCTCTACATGCAGCTGCCCTTGAACACATCCGGAAGCTTCAGCTGGTACAGAATGTGGTGGTGCAGGCAGTTAATGCCATTGGGTTTGGGCACATGCGGCTCCCAATATGCTTTCAGGTGCAATTCCAGTAGTTGAGGTTACCCTGAAAGCCAATGAAGTTCAAGATTCAAAATGATTTCTGATGTTCTCCTTAAAAACGGTGCCTGCATGTTCACACTCATATTGTGGAAACTGACTGGCTTCCTTCTGTAGCTCAACTTGTGCATCAGCCTTTCCCGATCTGTTCCACTATCAGCACCTACCCACATTTTGGCTACTATAACTGAGCTCTTCTCCTTCCTGTAAGCAATAAGCAAGCAATTTGATTTCTGTATATGCCATTTGGTGATGTCCATGTTTGGTTGTTAGAAGAGTGTTGGCTATGAAGAAATCTTTGGCCTGGCAAACGGCTAAATCAGTCTCTGCTTCATTTCAGTTTCCTAAGCCATAAAACCCAACTACATTTTCCTCTTTCATGTTTCCAGCTTTTGGCATTCCAGTCTCCAATCACAAGCAGCACATCAAGTCTAATTGATATTATTCTGGCACTGCCTGCCTTATAGACAACTCCTCCTCTGGCTGTCTTCTTCCTAATTAGAAAACTAACTTTGTTTTTATGTCCTGAGTAATGAACTATGTTATCTTCTGACTGAAAGTGGCTGATCCAAGTCCATCTCAGTTTGCCAATGCCTACAATATCAATCCGTGGTTGTTTCATTTCAGCTTTCACTGAGTTGAGCCGTTCCATGTTCATGCTTCACACACACAATTCTCACCGTAATTCTTTTCAGATTTTCTTTTTCCTGCATGGCAACTCCAGCAACCAGATGTCCCAAAAGCTTTAATCCAGCCAAGTCGTAAGAACTATTAGTGCTCCTAAAGATTCTCAGCTCTTTTTCAGCACCATGTTGATATTTATGGATGCAGAAATATTGAAAATTCAGAAGGGTTTGCAAACTTTTAAGCGCCACTGTATAAAATTGGCAGTCGCTCTTGAGGGCACAAGAGAGCCCTGCCTGAGTCTAAATAAACAGCGACGGAAACAATACATACATTGTGCCTGCCTGCTGTCACTCACCTGAGGTCTCCTTAATTGCCCGAGGCCCCTCTCAGAGTCCCAGCTGAGGGCTTGCAAAGTTTCCTGCAACACATCTTGAAACGGATGAAGCCCTCGCTTGCTCTATGACCTGCAGAGTCCTAGAGAGGCATTTCACAACTGAGTCAAAAGGGTGAATTTTAATTATGGCACCTGAGGGCTTCGTACCAAAACCAGAAGCTTCGGTTCTTCTTTCTTTCTCAGTTTCTCAGTTTCTCTCCTGGTGACAGAAACCGTTTCACTGCTCCAGTTGGCATGGATTCTCCAGAACTGGAGTCAAAGGGAGCCATCAGGAAGGGAGGACTATGGGAGAAGAGGGGCTTCAAAACTCTTCCCCTTGCCATTTCTCCCTTGCCTCAACTATTCTAGTCAGCATTTGTTATCCTGCAACATTGGGACAGAACTTCCAAAGTTTCTGGGCTGCCTCATTTCACCAGTTCAGCTCTCTGCAAGTCCTTCTCTAAACTGGTCAATTAGAACCCAATCATTCCATCCCACATCTCTGGCCAATAATTTTAAACCCAGTATCTACACCCAGATTCAACACTGACCCTGCTTAGTTTGCAGATTTTATGGTTGGTGGTCCCCCATCTCATGGGATCACTGAAACATCTATCAATCTTGGCACCAGGTTTGTATAATTGTTCAGCACGGGGTCATTGACCTGAATGAGGGTATGACTCATCTGGCCATCCCTTCTTTCACCAAATTCCACACAAAGGTCACTTTGGTGCGATCTGTGAGTCATGAAGGTCCAGAATTGGCCTTGGTCTTCTCCAAAACCCTCTGGGAGCCCCCAGGAGAATGCAGAAACACTGACTCTGCTGCAGGCGTCTGCAGCTGAGGTAAATTCTGTCCCAACGGTTGGGTTTGTTGCATTATGGAATTTTCCAAGTTCTTTCTACATCTGCCTCTTGTTGGTGTGGCAACAATCCTGCAGGAAGGTCTTCAGTGCTATACTTGAGTGTCAGAGGTCATCTTGATCAACAAATGGGAGATTTTCAGCTTCTTTTGAAAGAGCACATGGGGTCCTCAGCTTAGGACCACAATTAAGCTCAATTGCTAAGCAAGGGCGTTGTTAAGTGAATTTTGCCCCATTTTACCTTTTTTGTCACAGTTGTTAAGTGAATCATTGCAGTTGTTAAGTAATCATGTGGCTGTTAAGTCCCCCCCTTCCCCCCACTGACTTTGCTTATTGGAAGCCAGTTGCGAAGGTCTCAAATCACAAATAGAATAACTGAGTTGGAAGGGACCTTGGAGGTCTTCCAATCTAACCCCCCCCCCCGCTTAAGCAGAAGACTCTACACCACTTCAGACAAATGGTTATACAATCTCTTTTTAAAAACTTCCACTGTTGAAGTATTTGTAACTTCTGGAGGCAAGTTGTTACACGGATTAATTGTTCTAAATGTCAGGAAATTCCTCCTTAGTTCTAAGTTGCTTCTCTCCTTGATTAGTTTCCACCCATTGCTTCTTGTTCTACCCTCAGGTGCTTTGAAGAATAGTTTGACTCCCTCTTCTTTGGGGCAGCCCCTGAGAGATTGGAACACAGCTATCATGTCTCCCCTAGTCCTTCTTTTCATTAAACTAGACCTACCCAGTTCCTGCAACCGTTCTTCATATGTTTTAGCCTCCAGTCCCCTAATCATCTTTGTTGCTCTTCTCACCATTTGTTGTAAATGGCGATCAGCTGACCCTGTGTCTCTACAACCGTCATAAATGCATGCCAGTTTCAAAGCGTTCGAATTCTGATCATGTGACCATGGGGAGGCTACAACGGTTGTGACTGCGGGACCAGACATAGGCCACTTTTTCAGTGCCACTGTGATTCTGAACGGTCACTTTGCGAATGGTGTAAGCACTACCTGTACGAGATTTGCAAAATTAGTAGAGCAGACTTTTTGTTGTGACTGGTTGTCAGGAATCTGCCAGTCTGTTTTATCCAGTACCTCCTCCCCTCTTTTTATATTCCACTGAATCATCTGCCTGAGATGCTTCCAAATATTATCTCGTTTCTCAGGACTTCAAAATACGTTTCTGCCCCTTTTGTCTCGGTAACATCCGTGCGTATTTCCATCAAGTCATCTTCTATCTCTGTACGAGACTAAAAAGCATATTGCTGAGGCAGAGAAAACCCTGGTGGGAGAGAGACCCATTTCCCTTAGCAAGAGTGGGGAAAGGAGGGGCAACTGCAGGCAAAACCCACTCACCATGTTGGCACTGGCTCTTCCAGAATTGCTGGCAGTAGAGAATGGCGACTGTCAGGAGGATCAGCGCCAGGAGTACCAGGGCACTACTTGTGAGCACCACCAGAGCCGGATCTTGGGCAGGTTCCGTGGAACTTTCTTCTAAGCCAATTCTAGAAAGGCCTACCAAGATCAAAAACACCATTCAAAGCAGGAAGGCTGATACGTATAAGCTGGGTTGACAAAATCAGAAATGAGGAGGTGATAAGCCATCTGGGAAAGCCAAGGGAAATCATCAAAACCATTAAAAAGTGAAAGTTAGAATATTTCGGATATGTGATGCGACACCTGGAAAAATACAACAAATATGACATACTTCACTTAATAGGGCCTGGTGGCTCAGCAGACTGATAGCATTGTGATTAACACCAGCTGTCTGCAATTAAAGTAAGTTCGAATCTCGCCAGGCTCAAGGTTGACTCAGCCTTCCATCCTTTCTAAGGTAGGTAAATTGAGGACCCAGTTGTGGGGCAATAAGCTGACTTTGTATAAAAATATACAAAAGGATGAAGGCTATTGCTTAACACATTGTAAGCCGCCCTGAGTCTCCGGAGAAGGGCGGCATATAAATCAAATTAAAAAAAAAAAAATCCTCCAGGGAAAGATTGAAGGCAAATGAGGTCCAGACAGAAGAAGAACATCATGGCTTCAAAATCTAAGGGTCTGGTTTGGGCAAAACTCAGCAGCACTTTTTCATGCAGCTGTTCATAAAAATAGGATCGCCAACATGATCGTCAACGTCCGATGACAGAGATGGCAGAAGAAGAAAGCAGAAAGGAACAGGTTCCCGTCTTCTATTTGATGGGCAACAAATCCCCGTTAGGAACCTGCCTTTGGCTGGACAGGATGTGTGTGCGCTCCATAATGCAGAATGGAACATTTCCATCTCCCAAATGCAAAATGAGCTTTGTTCCAATTTCCCAATAATCAGCAACTGCAGAAGTTCCCTCTTCCTATCTTGCGGAGTGGGGGGGGGGGGGGGGGGCAGGAGGGCCTGCTTTGCTCTTGTGAGTGCACAGCTACTAAAACCCTTCGAGCCTTCCTACTTAGAGGACACGTATAGCGAGACTTAGCATGCCTTGCAGTTGAACTGGAATATATTAGAAATGAAAAATAAATAAAAGCATTTTCAGCAAGGCAATGCAGATTCCGTTCAGACAGAAAATGTGTGCTTGGAACCTGAAATCACCACTGCAAAACCTCTTAAGGGATAGATGTTTCTAGCCCTCTTCACTGGAACAACATCTCAAAATGCCACTAGGTCTCAAGAGTTTTATAGGCCATGAAGTCAGGCGGCTTTGGCTGAGTTTTCTTCCTGTTGATCAGGAGTCAGCACTGATAGGTTCTGCAGGGTTTCCACATATCTCACAAGCCTATCAGGAGCAGGGCATTATTGGCGTATAATTTACTCACCGTGCATCAAGAGGCACAACTAAATAAATGCCAGTGGTTATCGATTTGCTCTCCACCCCAGATGCCTATGCACCATTTGCAGAATCAAACTTCCCCTATATGCAATTTTATATATGGAGGCCAGGGGTGTGATGGCTCAGCACTTAAAGATGCTGAGCTTGTCAGCTGGAAAGCTGACAGTCTGGGTTCGAGACCCGGGTGCCATGTGACAGGGCGAGCTCTTGTTCCTTGCTCCAGGTCCTGCTCACCTAGAAGTTTGAAAGCATGCAAACGTGAGTAGATAAATAGGTACCACTTTGGTGGGAAGGCAACAATGTTCTGAGCGCCTTGGCGTATAGTCATGCTGGGCACATGACCACAGAAGTGTCTTTGGACAATACTGGCTCCCTTGGCTCAGAAATGGTGATGAGCAATAGACCTTAGCATTGGACACAACTGGACAGGGGAATCCTTTACCTTTACCTATATGTAGGCAGGGAGCCCAAATATTTGGCAAGCCTCAATCTTGCTACATTGTAGAACAAACTTGACAACTTAAAGACTTGTGGATTTCAACAGGAGCCTTGATAGTACAGTGGTTTAGTGCACCCTGTTATTAACACAGCTGCCTGCAATTACTGCTGGTTCGAATCTCTCCAAGGCTCAAGGCTGACTCAGCCTTCCATCCTTTCAAAGGTAGGTGAAATGAGGACCCAGTTTGTGGGGGCAATAAGCTGACTTTGTATAAAATATACAAAAGTATGAAAGCTATTGCTTAACGCATTGTAAGCTGCCCTGAGTCTCCGGAGAAGGGCGGCATATAAATCAAATTAAAAAAAAAAACAAAACTCCCAGAATTCCTCGGCCAGCCATGGAATTCGGGAAGTTGAAGTCCACAAGTCTTAAACGTTGCCAAGTTTGGAGACCCTGGTGTAAAACTCCATCAGGAGGTTGAGTCCTGAAGCATAATGAGGACAAGGAGCTCCTGGAAGCCTAGTTAGTACTTACACTGTGGTTCGGAGGGTGGGGTCTGCTTTGTGCAGGGCACACATTCAAGGTCCTGGAATCCACCAATTTGAGTTTTACTGTAGAAGCTATAAAGAGGAAGAAAATTGGGCCAATGTTTAATATGGAGGAGCTGCAGAGGGCTACTTAACACCTGAACATGGGCAGAGGGCACCAGAGGCTTCCCAAAGGCTGCAAAACCCATTATTCTCAGTTAACTACTTCCTTGCTCCCCTGCTGCACTGAGGACCGATTCATACACCAAAATCATTTCCAGGGAACTGAACATGTAATCACGAGAGCAGTTCATCATCCATAACAAATTCAATGAAATCAATCAATCAACCCAGTTCATATTGAATTACCGTAAAGCAGCCCAAAATGAACTGAAGTAGCACCAAGATCAGAGGAAATAAGTGAATAATTGGCTTCCTTTCTGCTCCCTTGTTCATCTGCTTTTCCTGAGCTCTGCCACTTCTCCTTGGTGCAAGGATCTTAGGCATATGGAAAAGGAGGGTTATGAGCAGCCCATCTAGTGAACTAACCACTTTCTGAACATGGCATGGATTCCCTGATTTGACACTGCTGCCCAAAAACCTGACAATTTTGTTTATTCATTCGTCAAATCTACACCCCAACTTTCTTCCAGGATGCAATATTCCTTTCCTCTTGTTTTTCCGCCACAAAAAACAAAAACAAAAACAAATTCAGGTTCTGATTGGGCTGCGAGAGAGTGACTGGCTCAGCATCACTCAGGAAGTTGCTGAGGCTGAACTCGAACCCGAGGCTCCCCTGAGTCCATCTCAGAAAGAAAGAATAGTAATAGTGCTACCCTTATGAACCCCTCCATCCCTGCTGGGCAGGGGATGTTCCTGTGAGGGGTGAGGGAAGAACACCAGCAGGAGAGCCAAAAGTATCCCTTCCCCACAAGAGCACACAGTTGTGAAGATGGTTCCAGCTGGGTGGCAAGAGACTGGAGGCAAACGTGACAACTGCCAAGCATCCATTTTCAATCGCAAGGGAGAAGACAATGACAAACCACGCCAAGGAAAGTTTGCCAAGAAAATCATGTGACTAAATGATATAAAGTGATTGACAATATTGTGCCAGGCCCCTCCTATCAGAAGGCACTCAACATGCTACTGAAGTAATGATCACATTTATATTATTATTATTATTATTATTATTTATTATTTATTATTATTATTATTATTATTATTATTATTATTATTATTATTATTATTATTATCGTTGTTGTTATTATTATTGTTATTATTATTATACACAAACCTGACAGTATACACAGCAAACAAGATAACCATGCTGGATTTCGTATCTCAAATCACTAGTCGAACACTTCCCAAGCGTTTAGGACTGCGTGATGTATCGGCGGATTATGCGAGCAGATCCCAATAAGGTGGCCTTCTTCAGCTGACCAATGGTGATCTTGTTAGCGCCAATTGTTCTTAAGTGCTTGCCTAGGTCTTTAGGCACAGCACCCAGTGTGCCGAGTACCACTGGGACCAGCTGCACTGGTTTATGCCAGAGTCTCTGCAGTTCGATTCTCAAGTCCTGATATCTGGCAACTTTTTCAAGTTGTTTCTGGTCGATTCTGCTGTCACCAGGTGTGGCAATGTCGACGATCCACACTTTTTACTTCTCCACAATCGTGATATCCGGGGTATTGTGTTCTAAAACTTTGTCAATCTGTATTCAGAAGTCCCACAGCAGTTTTGTATGCTCATTTTCGACCACTTTTTCAGGCTTATGATCCCACCAGTTCTTTGCTACAGGCAGATGGTAGTTGTGACACAAGTTCCAGTGGACCATCTGAGTGACTGTGTTATGACGTTGTTTGTAGTCAGTCTGAGCTATTGTCTTGCAACCACTCAGTATGTGATCAATGGTTTCATCTGCTTCTTTGCAGAGTCTGCATTTGGGGTCATCAGCAGATTTTTCTATTCTGGCTTTGATTACATTCGTTCTGATGGCTTGTTCCTGGGCTGCAAGAATCAGGCCTTCTGTTTCTTTCTTCAGTGTTCCGTTGGTCAGCCATAACCAGGTCTTTTCTTCTTCTTCTTCTTTCTTCTATTATTATTATTATTGTTGTTGTTGTTGTTGTTGTTGTTGTTGTTGTTGTTATTATTATTATTATTATTATTATTATTATTATTATTATTATTATTGTAAAGCTGGATGCTCATCAGTCTAAAAAAGTTTATGAAGGGATTTCCAAAGTTTGGACTCTCTCAGTCAACTGCCAGGAAGATTGTGTACAAATGGGAGCAATTTGACACCATTGTGAATAGCAATCAGGATCACACCAAACACAAGGGGTGTAATTCATGGGAGATCTCAATCCATCTTTCCCTCGCAGGATTTGATTTTCTTGGTGATGCTCTTAAAAAAGTAATTTTATAGGATAGCTTATTCGAGCACCCCATCACAACCACAAATGGACTCTCAATAGCTGCCCAGTTCTGCATTTACCGTTAAGAGGTCTTGTTTTGATCAAAGGCTCCAGGTGGAGCCAGATAGCCTTACCCGGGGAAGCAGCCTCCACAGGTGGCATCGGAGGTGGTGCTGCAGTTGGACTTTTGGGCCCGGTTGATCAGTGCACAGGAGAGACAGGACTTGCAGCCATGCGGTCCCCAGCTGTCCTTGAACCTCCTGGGCTGGCATGGGGTGCACTCAGCCTCCCTCCCTTCCCCGTAGCCACACTCCTGCAAGAGAGACGCATCCCGAGACTGTTATTCTGTCTATGCATACAGAAAAATCATGGGAGGGAAGTAAGAAGGGAGAGGGGGGGAGGAGGATTTCTGTTTTACAGAGGAAAAGCAATGAATTACTTTGCAGAGATGACGATGTTCCAGCTATTCCAATAAGGGTAATTTAGCACAGAGGTGAAATGCTCCTGGTCGGACCAAATCGCCCGATCCGGTAGCGATGGAGTTGGGTGGTTCAGAGAACTGGTAGCAAAAATCCCTCCAGCCCCCCATGTCCAGCTGAGCCACACAATCATCAGAGGCTTTTTTTTTTTAAGCATTTTTTCTACAACCTCTTCACCCGAAAAAATGCTTTTAAAAGTAAAAAAAAACATCTGATGATCGTGGGGCTCAGCTGGGATCGTGAAATGCTTTTAAAAGCCTCTGATGATCCCAGCTGAGTTGCCTGATCAGCAGAGGCTTTTAAAAAAAGCCTCTGCTGATCAGGCTACTCAGCTGGGATCGTCAGAGCCTTTTGAAAGCATTTTTTTACAACCTCTTCACCGAAGAAGTTATAGAAAAAATGATTTTAATTTTTTTTAAATGGCCACGCCTACCCAGTCACATTACCCCCCCCAAGCCACGCCCACAGAACCGGTAGTAACAAATTTTAGATTTCACCACTGATTTAGCACCAAAATTGTCATGAAATACGTTCCTTATTTATTTATTTATTTATTTATTTATTTATTTATTTATTTATTTATTTATTTATTTATTTATTTAATTTGTATACCGCCCTACTCCCGAAGGACTCAGGGCGGTGAACAGCCAAGCAATAAGATACATAAATACAAAAATTTAAAAAACCAGTTAAAATCGAATTAAATCATTTTTTGGCCCAGACAAATTAAAACACCCCAATAATTTAAGAACAAATTTAAAATTTATGTATTAAAAGAGGGAGGAGATTAGGCCAAGCCTGCTTGATGGAATAAAAGAGTCTTCACAGCGCGGCGGAAGGTGCGCAGATCCGGGATCCTCCGTATCTCTGGGGGGAGCTCATTCCAGACGGTAGGTGCCCCCACAGAGAAGGCTCTCCCCCTAGGGGTCGCCAGCCGACATTGTTTGGCTGACGGCACCCGGAGGAGTCCCTCTCTATGAGAGCGTACTGGCCGGTGGGAGGCTATTGGTGGTAGTAGGCGGTCCCGTAAATAACCAGGTCCTAAGCCATGGAGCGCTTTAAAGGTGGTAACCAAAACCTTGAAGCGCACCTGGAAGACCACCGGGAGCCAGTGCAGCTCGCGCAGGAGAGGTGTCACATGGGAGCGCCATGACGCTCCCATTACCACCCGCGCGGCCGCACTCTGCGCCAGTTGGAGCCTCCGGGTGCTCCTCAAGGGGAGCCCCATGTAGAGAGCATTACAATAGTCCAGGCGGGAGGTGACGAGGGCATGAGTGACTGTGCGTAACGAGTCCCGATCCAGAAAGGGACGCAACTGACGAATCAGGCGAACCTGATAAAAAATCCTCCCGGTCACGGCCGTCAAGTGCTCTTCTAAAGACAGCCGTGAATCCAGGAGGACGCCCAAGTTGCGAGCCCTCTCCGAGGGGGCCAGTGATTCGCCCCCAATAGTCAGAGATGGCGTCAACTGACTATACCGGGACGTCGGAAACCACAGCCACTCGGTCTTGGATGGGTTGAGCCTGAGCCTGTTCCTCCCCATCCAGATCCGTACAGCCTCCAGGCACCGGGACATCACTTCAAGGGCATCGTTGGGGTGATCCGGGGTGGAGATGTACAGCTGGGTGTCATCAGCGTACTGATGGTACTCCACCCCGAAACCACGGATGATCTCGCCCAGCGGCTTCACATAAATGTTGAACAGGAGAGGTGAGAGGACCGACCCTTGCGGCACCCCACATATGAGGGGCCTCGGGGTCGACCTCTGTCCCCCTGTCAACACAGACTGCGACCGGTCAGAGAGAAAGGAGGAGAACCACCGTAACACAGTGCCTCCCACTTCTAACTCTTCCAACCGGTGCAGCATGATACCATGGTCGATGGTATCAAAAGCCGCTGAGAGATCTAACAGGACCAGGACAGAGGAGCACCCCCTGTCCCGAGCCCTCCAGAGATCATCAACCAACGCGACCAATGCCGTTTCCGTGCTGTACCCGGGCCTGAAACCCGACTGGAACGGATCCAGATACGTTGTTTCATCCAGGTGCTGGGGGAGCTGTTTCGCGACCACCCTCTCAACAACCTTCGCCACAAAACGAAGGTTGGAGACCGGACGATAATTTACCAACATTGCCGGGTCCAGGGATGGCTTCTTGAGGAGAGGCCTCACCACCGCCTCTTTCAAGGCGGCAGGAAAGACACCCTCACCCAACGAAGCATTTATAATCCCCTGGAACCAGCCTCGTGTCAACTCCCGAGAAGCCAGCACTAACCAGGAGGGACACGGGTCCAATAAACAAGTGGTCGCGTTCAGTCTACCCAGAATCCTGTCCACATCCTCAGGGGTCACAGGATCAAACTCATCCCAGATAACATTCTCAAGACCTGCCCCTGTCCCTCCTCCTGAGACTACCCAGTCGGAGTCCAGATCTTCCCGAATCTGAGTGATTTTGTCATACAGATATTGAACAAAATCCTCGGCTCTACCCTCCAAGGGGTCCTCCCGCGCTTCCTGGTGGAGCAGGGAGCGGGTCACCCTGAACAGGGCGGCCGGGCGATTATCTGATGACGCAATAAGAGCAGCAAAATAGCTACATTTCGCTGCTTTTATCGCCACTAGGTAAGTCCTAATATGAGATCTTACCAGTGTCCGGTCCGATTCGGAACGGCTGGCCCTCCAACTGCTCTCTAGGCGTCTTTTCCGGCGCTTCAACTCCCTCAGCTCCTCGGTAAACCAAGGAGCTAAATGAGATCGGCGCCGGGTCAGAGGCCGCAAAGGCACGACCCGGTCCAGAGCTCCAGCGGCCGCCCTATCCCAGGCGGCCACTAGGTCTCCAGTCGAGGCGTGTGCCAGAGCCTCAGGGAATGGCCCAAGCTCCATCTGGAACCTATCAGGTTCCATCAGGCGCCTGGGGCGGAACCATCTTACCGGCTCCGCCTCCCTGCGGCGGGGTGCAGCGGTTCAAAGGTCGAGACGAAGGAGAGAGTGATCAGACCATGACAAGGGCTCGGTGACTATATCCCCTATCTCAAGATCACTCAACCACTGTCCAGAGACAAAAACCAGATCCAGCGTGTTTCCCCCCGTGTGTGTAGGGCCATGAATTAACTGGGTCAGGTCCATAGCTTATGACAATCCATCTAGCATACTCTTCACTGTTGCCTTTTCACCTGGCTAAAAGAAGCCCACCAACAACATCTGCCTCTCCTACTGTATTCTCAGCAAATACAACACCTAAACCAGCTTTAAAGCTGAAGATTTTGGGGAGGGGGGGTAAATGGTCTTTTTTCAGGTAAATACAATATCTATACTTTTGAAGGGTAAAGACAGGATTGTGGCTTATCCCACAAACTAAAAATGTCAGAGAAAAACATTTGATTTTAAAGTGCATGCCAATTTGCAAAAAAGGAACAAGGTGGAGCAAGAGTTTAATTTTGAAAATGCCTGACTGATTTCATTTGAAATAAAATGGCTTTAAGTTGAAGACTATAGTCATAAACGGCTGTGGTAGACTCAAAGAGTTTCCTATGCAAATTCCATTGGACAGAATAGAACAATAACTTTATTGTCGCTTTGCATGTACATTAATCGGCATACATTAAAATGAAATTTCGTTGCATACAGCTCCCAAAGGGTCGTCACCTCCAATATACACTACATAAACATGACTAAATAAAGAAATAAATAAATACAAAATTATGTATATACCCACATACCCTCATATATTCCATGATGGAGAGAAACAACACAGTCTAGTTCGGATGTATATATGTACATGGCAAGAAAAACGATTCTGTTACAGAATCTGGTAGTCCTGCTGGAAATACTTTGAAACCTCCTCCCAGAGGGGAGCAACAGAAACAGACCATAAAGTGGGTGTGCGGGGTCTCTAACAATGCTTCAAGCTCTAAGCACAGAGCACTTATAAGCAGCATCCTGAATGATGAGAAGCGAGCTTCCTATAATCTTCTCGGCTGTCCTCATCACTCTCTGTAGGGACTTTCTATCTGAGGCGCTGCTGCCACCAAACCAAACGGGGATACAGTTTGTGCCTCGTGCCTCTGTAAAAAGGAGAAAGATGTGCTCTCCTCATCCAACGCAGGAAATGCAGATGCTGGTTTGCCCGCTTCACTAAGGATAACGTGTGGAGACACTAGTTTAGATTGTTAGTTATCTAGTATAACTAAATTAGTTATCTAGTATAATCAGCTAGGTGTCAGGTGCAAAAGCTAGGGTGTAAAAGTCTGAGAAGGAACAATAAGCACATCTTCAGGTTACCTTGGAAAGTTCGAATCCAGGGCCACACTCCTTGCAGGGGATGCATACGCCATGATCGCCCAGGTATTCGCCTTCTCGGCATTCCACAGGGTTTGCAATGGATTGGGACGCCAGAACCTGGTGGGAAAAACACCTCAGGAGCCAGCATGACATGGCATCTCAACTCACTAGGAAGAGAGTCTGAGCACCATCTCCCCAATAATCCTTCCACACAACACCAGAGACTGAGCAAAGCGGAATTACTACGTTTTTTTTAAAGGCTTCCATGCCATTCATCCAGAATTTCCAATAAAGTCCAGGAGGCACAAACAGAATTGGATCAGTAAATTCCACTGAGACATAGTTTCCAATGGCTGCCTGCCACCAGACTTCAAAAAAAGCTAAAATAATATCGCTTCTAAAAGCTGGCAAACCACAAGACAGAGTTGAAAGCTACCATCCAATTGCCCCTTTGAGCTCCAGCTTCAAACTCCTGGAAAGATCAATTGTAAGCAAGATAGGTTCCATAATAGATGAACATCTGTCCGTGGAACAAGCTGGCTTCCTACAAGACTGGAACTCTGGAGATCATATGGGAAGCTTAATTTATTGAAGCAGGATTCCAAGGAGGCCTCAAAACCACGGCCATGTCCGTAGGCCTAAGGGCAGGATATGACAGAGTTTGGAAGGAGGGGTTGTTATACAAACTGTGCCATATTATGCTCTGCAAAAATCTCTTATCGACTAATTAACAACATTTTTATTATTATTTTTATTTTTATTAATCATATTTCTATGCCGCCCACTCTCTGAGGACTCTGGGCGGCTCACAACTATCGACAGTATACTAAATAGCATATTGCCCCCAACAATCTGGGTCCTCATTTTACCCACCTCGGAAGGATGGAAAGCTGAGTCAACCTTGAGCCGGTGAGATTTGATCCGCTGATCTGCTGAACTAGCAGTCAGCTGAAGTAGCTGCAGTACTGCATCCTAACCTCTGCGCCACCTTGGCTCTTAGAGGTGCAACATGCAGAGTGATAGGTCCTCTCAGATAGAAATGGGAACAAGGTAAGTAAGATCATTCTACCCTCTGGAAAAAATGTAGTTGCCCCTAAAAGCAGCTTTAAGTAAAAGGAAGGTGGTCCCTGGTGGTGGAAGGAGAACCCCGAGTCTCAACCAGCCCAAAGAGAAACCCAGAGATCAGGGGTGAAATGCGTTCGGGCGAACCGGTAGTAAAAAAAAAGCTACTGGTTCAGGCAAACGGGTAGTTAGCTACCGGTTCAGTTGAAACCGGCAGTTTAAAAAGCTACCAGTTCGGGCAAACCGGTAATTAAAAAAAGCTACCGGTTCCTCTGAACTGGTATTTCGATGATCAGCTGTGCAGCGGGGTTTAGCTTTGCTAGAAAGCAGGAAATCCTGCTTTCTAGCAAAGATAAACTGTGCTGCACAGCTGATTGCCCCCTCGCTGTTCTACTTACTTTCCCAAGCCTCCTTTTGGCGCGTACTGTGCATGTGTGCATGCACAGAGTGCGCGTTTGGTGTGCACTGTGCATGCACATGCACCACGTGTTTGGCGCATAGCATGCATGCGCAGCCAGCAAACCAGTAGCAAACCAGTTCAGATTTCACCACTGCCAGAGACCCTCACAGGCAAGGGAGGTTCCAGGTTCAGAGAGCAGCTGCAGAAACTGGCACCTGAACCGGAAGGATTAACTAGCATAGCCACCGGTTTCTGCTTGCTGACCAACAATTGTGCACTTTTCAAGAGGAGGAGCGCATTGAGTCGCTCTGAAGTTGAATGGAGCAGCAAGGCCTCACCAGCCTTGTAGGGCTGCTATGCTACTGCCTCGCCTGCCGATGGCCAAAATGGGGCAAGGTAGGCTAAGGTGCTGCCAAGGTGCGGTGCCCAACCCTCACCCAGGGAGCTGTGGGCAAGCTGGGTGTAAGACTTCATTATGCAAAGGCCGCGGCTTCCTTGCCTGCTGTTGTGGCTCCGTTACCTGAGCTTGTGCCATCGGCAGGAGAGGACTCAGAGAGTGAAGGAGAGGATTTGGCAAGGCCTCCCTCTCCAGAACCCTCCTCTCTGGCAATGCCTTCGGGGCCGAGCACGTCCATGCAGCAACAGGTGGACAGTAATGAGGGAGATGAGTCTTGGCTGGATCCTCGGTAGCATCACAGACATAAGCGCACTCAACAGAAGAAGAGGCGTGCCAGAGATTAAGCTGAGTTACTGGACCACACCCCACAGGGTATAAAAGGGGGTGAGGTGGCCATTCAGATTCTGTGACGGACAAAACTAACTACTATCGAGTCATATTACATCTTTGGAAGCAACATTATCTGCCTTGGATTTAATTATGGGCTGGACTTGACAATTCTTGAACTGTGTGTATCTTGTTTATGAGTAAAGTTCTTGGCAAGCAGCTACTGGGTTGCTGCCAATCCTCTTATCGAAAGAATTTGTTGTCTGCCAGTTTATTTAACCCCTGGCTGTCTGTTTGTGTGCGTGTGTGAGACGGGGATAGAACACCTGCCTCAGACAGGGGGACACAAGTCCCAAGAGCGGCATTTGCAGGATAACATCGCTGGGAGCAATGCCACTTTGGTTTGTCATAGATCCCACCTTTCCACAGCTTCTTATCCTCAGGGTGGACCCTTACCTGAATCACGATGATCAGCGTGAGACGCAGCGCAGCTCCCTTCTCCATGTTAAACCTCTTTGTTTGCAGCTCTTTGGAATACAAACTACGCAGAAACAAAAACATAAGTATCTCCCCAAAAGCCCCATTTCTCTCCCCTCCAATAAATCTCTTCGGTTTCAAGACAGTGTTTGCTTAGGCTTATTGTTTGGTTTAGCTAAAAAGTTGGATGGCTCTCCTAAATAAGAGTTACTTAAGATTTGGATTAAGAATGAAGATTCAGATGTGCATGCCTCTCTATGGTATGAGAAGGTCAAAGTAACTGTTTATTTCAACGACCACTTTCTTTATTGAAGTGGAATAAATATAAAATTAGGTTCTCTGTGAAGATGCTCCTTTGAGGGCCACCTAGGAAGCTTTTTTTAAAAAAGAAAAGAAAAAGTGGCGAGGCCAAACTGCTGGACTTATGGTCAAATAATACTTTTCAGTTATGGTGACCCTATCCTCAGACCTAAAGAGGAGTTGGAGTTAGAAGGATGAGTTTGCCATTGGTTTACATATTTACAACTGAAAGAAAGATTTAAATTAGATAAAAAAGCTATGGATTTGATTTTGTAAATATGAATTGGAAATTCTATTGTATGGTAGCATACATATTATTGCTAAAGTTTATAAATTGCTATTGAACTTGAACTTGGAGAATGAGTATGTAAAGCATGCTATGATTCAGTGGGCAAAGAGTTTTGGATATAATGCTTGAGCAATAGGAAAACATGTGGACAAAAGATTTAGAATTTACATTTAATTATAATTTAAAAGAAAATTTCTATATGATAATGTAATGATGATATTCGTCCATCATGTTCGAAGAGGACTTTGACATCTAACAGGTTGTGGGCTGTCCACGATGTGTCCGCAGGTGGCTGGTAAGGCCAATACGGACACAGAATGTTCTGCCACATGTCGGGCAGACATGCGTGGGCACCATTGTTGCAGCATTTGCAGCTCTGGCTTTGCAGAGAGCTTGCTTCTCTTATGCTATGGTTGATATGATATGATAAGGTACCGTTGGTATCTTAACAGTAGACAAATAAATAGTTAAGAATGTATAAAAGTACTTCAAATGAATGTTGGAAATGTAAATATATAAAGGAACTTTTTAGCATTTATGGTGGACTTCTGATAAAGCAAACAAATAATTGGAGTAGGATTCGCATCTTAATACAGAAGATTCTTAAAGTGTACATAAAGCTAAAACCAGAGTCTTTTCTTTTGGACTTAATTGATAAACAACTTGAAAAAAAGCTAGAACTTTGATAATATATGCTGACAGCAGCAAGAATACAAAAACCGGAAGGATGCTTTGATTCCCAAGTGGATGAAAGGCTGCAAAAGTGGATGGAGTTAGTGGAGGTGGCTAAATTGACTTTTAATGAAAGGAAAGAGCACAAATAATTTGGAAACCACTTGTGGACTTTGTGCTTGAGGTGGGAAAAAAACGAAATTCTGATTTTGGGCTTTGCTGATTAGATAGGCTTTTGTTATAGAAAAGGCTAATACATACTACAGTATTATGTAAAAGTAAGAAGTTGAGGTTGTTGTGTTACTCTCTTATTCTACGGCGCCAAAAGTCCAGGCTTCCTTTTTCTTTTTCCCCTGACACTTTTTCCTCTTCCCTTCTTCCTCCCCTATTTTCCCATTTTCGTTTTTCTTGGCAGTTCAGATTTGGATAAGCTAATAAAAAGTATCCAGCCAGGGCCAAGGAAGAAAGACGGGTCCACTCACCGGCCGGTCCCCGCCGCCTCCGCCGAATCGGGCCAGGGAGGCACCGCGCGGCCGCAGCTCCGCTTCTCGTCCCGCCAGCACCAGCCGGCGGGGAGCCCGGGACGTGTCGGGACTTGCCCGCCGCCGCTCGCCCTGCCCAGCCGGGAATGAGGGAGGGAGGGCCGGCTGGCTTACACGCCCCTCTCCGCGGGCTGCTCGGGGTCGGCGGGGGCTTCGCCGGGCAGAGGCTCGGACAGCGGGCTGGACCGGCTCCGCCCGCCCCGCACTGAGCCTCCCTGCGCGGAATCCCAGCCGGCTCGGCAGAAGCTCTGCTCTCCCTCCGCTTCAGCTGCAGCCTTGCCCGGGCAAAGGGTAGAAAGCGGGCTCCGCGGAGAGCCCTGGCCGCTCAGGGACTCGAGGCGAAGCAAGCGGGCGCGGCCGAATCCCCAGCAAAGCCTTGGCTTGGATGCCGCCTAGCAAAGCCCTGGAATCGCAGCCAACGTGGCTTCCTAATCCAGCTCCCAACTTCCCTGGACGCTCCCTACGCCCCGTCCCGAAGGTGCTTTTCCAAGGGGCAACTTTCTGCTTTTCCCTTGAAGATGTTTCGCTTCTCCTCCGGGAAGATTGCAAGGAACGTCAATCCTCCCATTCCCCACTATCCTGTCAAGAGCTGAAGAAGCTTCTGGGATGAGAAGCGAAACGTCTTCAAAGAAAAAAACAAGAAAGTCCAGTTGCCCCTTGAAAAAGCACCTTCGGGACAACCGTGACCTGGAAGACGGAGAATCTCCATAGATTCACGTGTTTTTGATTCTGTCCCTCTGTTAATGCAACCTAGGATTGTATTGTTAAAAAGATGTGGAGACTCTAGAAAGGGTGCAGAGAAGAGCAACAAAGAGGATTAGGGGACTGGAGGCTAAAACATATGAAGAACGAGTGCAGGAACTGGGTATGTCTAGTTTAATGAAGAGAAGGACTAAGGGTGACATGATAACAGTGTTGTAATATCTCAGGGGCTGCCCCAAAGAAGAGGGAGTCAAGCTATTCTCCAAAGCATCTGAGGGCAAGACAAGAAGCAATGGGTGGAAACTAATCAAGGAGAGAAGCAACCTAGAACTAAGGAGGAATTTCCTGACAGTGAGAACAATTAACCAGTGGAACAATTTGTGAATGTTCCAACACTGAAAGTTTTTAAGAAGAGATTGGACAACCATTTGCCTGAAATGGTATAGGGTTGCCTACCTAAGAAAGGTTAGACTAGAAGACCTCCAAGGTCCCTTCCAACTCTGTTATTCTATTCTATTGGGTTTTTTGGCTGCTGCCACACACACTTGGCTCATTTAAGTGATTGTCCACTTGAACTCCTAAATCCCTCTCAGTTACTTCTATTGAGCCAGGTTTCATCTAATCTGTACCTGTACATTTGGGTTTTCTTACCTAAGTGTAAAACCTTACTTTTCTCTCCATTAAATTTCATTTTGTTAGATAGCACCCAATGTTCAACTGTCAAGATCCATTTGGATCCTGTGCCCATCCTCTGAGTGTTGGCTATTCCTGCCAGTTCAGTGCCTGCAAATTTGATGAGTCCCCCTTCTGTTCTCTCATCTAAATCATTTATGAAGATATTGAAGAGTGTTGGGCCTAAGACAGAACCTAGGTGTACCCCACTGCTTCCTAAGGACTACATGCTGAGTGCGATTTGTCAGCCAGTTACAAATGGTGGTAATGCTGTCTATTCCACATATGTGAACTTTTATTGGTATTCTAAGTTGGATTTATGTTTAATACTTAAATAATATAGACTGTTCAGTTTGTACTGTAGGTTAAATGATTAAACTCTGTTAAGGAGGAGCAGGATATCTTAACTTTTGATATTCATAGCATATCTGACTTTGGTATGCATCTCATGGAATTCTATCACTGTTAAAACCCTGATTTTTTGACAATTGGCTATTTGAGTGGTATTTTAATGCCAATATATTTGATTTAAGCCGTTTAAAGCACACTGCTTTTTGCAAGCAACTCAAATATTCTTAGAATATATTATTTTTCAGATATTTGAAGTGGGAAAAGCAGTATTTATTTTTTACTTGTAAACTGCTCAGAGTCATTTAGTGAAAGAGGAGAGACATATGAATTTGATTAATAAACAAAAAATAATTTAATGCATTTATATTTCTAAGAAATCAGATGGGAGGCAAATTTACTCACAATGGAATATATGGTGAAAGTTTTTTACATCTCTAGGATATTCAGGTATTAATGTGCAGGTGGCTGTATAATAGTGTAAATAGATCTTGTGCTATTTTGTTTTGCTTTGATTTCGGGAATCCTAACTGCACAACCAATCAACCACCCAATGGGCAACCAGCAAACTGGAAAGAATCCATCCTTACTGATTGGAGCCAGTTCAGTGGTGCCAATCAGTAATTAAATTACAACAGTAATTAATGACTAAAGAAAGTCCACTTGCCTCCTGAAAAAGCCCCTTTGGGACCACCATGACCTGAATGACGGAGAATCTTTATAGACTTTTAGCTATCCAATTTGGGATGAACACCTGTTGAATGATGTGGAAGTAGGAATGGATTTCCAGAGAAAAAAAGGGCAGACTAAAAGAACCATTTGCACTACTCAGGTAACCCCGAGGACACAGATAAACCTCCAAGTGCTTCAAGGACCCTCTAAAAGGATGCAAAGGACCAGCTGTCTGCAAGGAATAGAAATCTTCCCCTTCCCCATCATCCAGTCAGAGCTGGTTTTCCTTTGAAGACGTTTCGCTTCTCATCCGGGAAGTTTGCAAGGAATGTCAATCCTCCCATTCCCCACCATCCACTCGGAGTTTAAGAAGCTTCTTGGATGAGAAGCAAAACGTCTTCAAAGAAAAAACAAGGATGTCCAGTTGCCTCCTGAAAAAGCACCTTTGGGACAACCAGCTCAGTGGTTACTTGGTGTCTATTCCGGTGGATTCTCTGCATGGCATCCACAACTATGAGAACCTTCAGGATCTGGCACATTGAAGGCCAGGAAGGCAGGAATCCCGAAAAGTATTGTATTAATTGTATTACTCTATGTTCTATTCTTGGAACTTTCCTGAGGAATTTTATTTTTAAAAAAATGTTTGTGAACGTAACCTTGACTTCTGTTTGGTTTTTACTTCTGTTGTTTCTTTTACAATATTTTCATGGTGCAAACGGGGGTGGGACAAGTTGAGAGTGCAAAATTCAGCCCAATCAGCGGGTGATTGAAAATGCTGGGCTGTAAAATGAAATGGCTGCATTGCCTCTTTGCAGAGTCCGTGGAAGGAAAGGATGGTCTCTCTGTCCTGGGTTCTAATTACTGATCGGTACTGGATTGCATCAGATTTCACTGTTATGCAGGAACACGCCAATGAGCCGTCCTGTTGACAAAAGACATCAATTGCCCAAACGCACAAGGGGTGTTTCTGCCATACTTGGGTTAATCCAACTACCGTATTTTTCGGAGTATAAGACGGACCTTTTTCCCCCCAAAAAGAGGGTGAAAATCTGGGTGCGTTTTATACTCTGAATGTAGCCCCGCCCAGCTTCTCAAATGGAGGTTTCAGAGGCTGAAAAAAGCATCAGAAATGAAGCTTCAGAAAAGAAGCCCCCAAAGAAGAGCTTCAGAGGCTTTTTTCCTGAAGCTCTGTTTCGGAGGCTTTCAGAGGCAGAAAAGAAGTTTTTTCTGAAGCGGAGTTTCAGAAGTTTCAGAGGCAGGGGAAAAAAAAAAAGCAAGGCACAGAGCTCACAACCAAGGAACCTGTTGCTAAAATTCACCTCTGGGAACAGCTGATTGGGCGTATTCCGGAAGGCTGATCCACCTGCCAATCAGCTTTTTTCTTATTTTCCTCCCCAAAAACCTATAGTCTGGTGCGTCTTATACTCCGAAAAATACAGTAATTATGAAGCAGCTTGGGATACTAAAATGCTGCAAGACACAGAGCAAAACATAATGGCACTTACACTCTAAAATGTATTGCCCGCCAAGCCTTGGCGTAAAACACTGAAAGCATCAGATTACCTGATGAATTATGGTGGACTTCCGGTATTCATGCCTTTAAAACTCTACCAAAATTCCAGCTATTAATTTGTGCTATTTCTTGGCTGTGGCCAGGAGGAATTCACCAGCTCTCACCATGACCAATTAAGTGGCCATTTAGACATTATTAAACAGACATGTGGTGGGTCCTACTTTGCCATTGATCTGGGTTTCAAGGAGTTGGGTTTCAAAGGAGCCTTGGTGGTGCAGCGGACTAAAGTGCTGTTAAGTAGCACTTAGCTGCCAGCTGCCTGCAATTACTGTGAGTTCAAATCTCACCAGGCTCAAGCTTGACTCAGCCTTCCATCCTTTCGAGGTAGGTAAAATGAGGACCCGGTTTGTGGGGGCAATAAGCTGACTTTGTATATAAAAAAAAGAACACCGCTTAGGGGGCCCCCGAAAGCCCTACTAAGCAGGTATATACAAAAGTATGAAGGCTATTGCTTAACGCATTGTAAGCCTCCCTGAGTCGCCAGAGAAGGGCGGCATATAAATCGAACCAATAAATAAATAAATAAATAAATAAATAAATAAATAAATAAATAAATAGAGAAAAGAAGAGAAAAGGAGGGTGCTGAAGTAGAATAGAATAGAATAATAACTTTATTGTCACTTTGAATGTACACAATCAGCATACATTAAAATGAAAATTTTGCTCTCAGAAGGGTCACCACCTCCAATATACACTACATAAACATGACAGAATAAATAAATAAATACAAAATTATGTATTTATAATTTTATAATATATACCCACATATATTCTGCGACACAGATAAACAACACAGTCTAATGTAGCCATGTACATCTATGTATACATATACATGGCGAGAAAAACGAATCCTGTGAGTTTACCAGACGGATGGCTGAGGGAACCAAGCTGTTCCAGAATCTGGTAGTCCGGTTAGAAACCCCCTCCCAGAGGGGAGCAACAGAAACAGACCGTGAAGTGGGTGTGTGGGGTCTCTAACAATGCTCTGAGGTCTTTGTTGTGCTTTTTTGATGATATTTTTGATGTTGGGTGTCCATTTTAAGTCTT